TCAACAGGAAAAAATGTAAAATTTCCCGAAATCAAACAGGTGGTCGTTTTTATATGATTGCCATCTCTTGCAATCTAGCTCGTATGCCGTCCTTGGAAACACCGAGTGTTTGTACCGACTGTTGAAATTGTACGGAAAATTAAGACTAGACGAGGTTAGACGAAGGTTACGCGAACTGGAATTCGAGCATAGTAGTTGAAGAAACATCAGTGGTTTCGCTCAATTCTGTGTCAAATCTCATAAACGATTTTCAAAAGGCAACAATTTGAAATAACACCATCAACGAACGACATAAGTTAGTATTATTTTAATTACAATGTGCTTCGTAAGACGATCATACTGATTGTTCGATATATAAAATCTTGTTATGGGTAGGGGCGTCGTATCTTCAGGGTGATTCAAATCAGAAACAATCTAAAAATTCACTATGCAAACACGATTTCAGAGGAAAAATATAAGCATTATGATACGGGAAAAAATGATATACCCAGTAGAGATAGTTAATATGGAAAAAACTTAGCATTTATTGTTGGTATTTTTAATTAAATAATTTATGTTTCTCATTCGGTCTGATTTGTTTTAGATTTAAATTAAGTTAAACGTATTTTGAAGATGCACGCAATGACTAGTCTCGAGTTAAAATATTGATTAGTTAGTTTGCTCTTAACCGTTAATTAAGACGGTGTTTTCAGGGTGTGTGAAAGTCTTCAATATCTTCACACCCTGAAAGGTCAGAGCGTAATCGGGAGACGTAAGAAGAAGACCGCTGGCGCCAGCAAAGTCATCTTGCTATTCACCTCTTTGATAAACACGTCTGCCTTCCAATTGTTATGTTAATGATCTCATTCACGGTGGCATTTTAGAACGTTTCAGCTATTAGTCAACCTGTAAACTTTGCCACCAAAGAGTAAAACAATTCACACTTTCGGAGAAATCAGAATTTAGCACAAACGCTGACAGCTGCGAAGAAACAATTGATTTCGCACTTGTAAAATAATCAATCGAGGAGGAATTTTTAAAGGTTTTCTGAATATTGAGACCTTGCGTCAGGATTATGTATGTATGCAAATAGCTACGCTACGCGGAGCAAACTGTGGTCTGCGCAAAACTACAGTTGCTGGCATTCGCGGTAACCAGTTTCACCATTCTACTCTGCGTGTACCAACGTTACGTCGAGCAATGTCGAAGTTTCACCACATCAGCAAACTCGCAATTAGCGAAAATCGCTCCTCTCTTAAAATTGATCTTCCTAGTCCTACATCCTCGATTTGTTCGGACGTCGGCTACGGAAGTGAAGAAGTCGAAGGAGGCATCAGTCCCCCAATTGGTAAGTATCCTACCGGAATAAGTTACTTGCAATAACCTGTTCAATAATCAGCTCGCAAACGAATTCATCTGTTTGGGGGTATTTATTTTAAATTCTGTTTAACGTGACTGTAATATTTGTTTCCCTATAGTTGAGCATGCTGAACGTAATCGAACCTGTCGGCGAAAGAAATCTAGAACTGCTTTCAGTGATGAGATTCTCTTGCAGCTGGAGAAGAAATTTAGACAGCAGAAATATTTGATGGCTGACGAGAGAGAAGAGTTTGGAAAATTGATTGGATTAAATGAGACACAGGTAAACAGTTTCACTTTTTAGATTAGTGGTATACTCCGCATTTTGGAAAATGTTTTCGGCATACCACGTCATGCTTGCTCTGTTAAAATGAAACCATTTTCCCATTTCATTTTTTGCTAGGTTCGAACTTGGTTTCAGAATCGTCGCATGAGGTGGAAAAAACAACGAAAAGTAACCGCCGAAGAGATTCCAACTCCGAGAAAAGAAACTACGCGACCAAGCTCCACTGCGTCACCTGCTCCCGTCGTGACTTCATCGCCAGAAAAGGTAGCCAATTGCAGTTCAGACGAGCCACAACCGATGACAACTATGAAGTTACCGACAACTCCAACAATATTACCATCGTCGTGTATTCTCCCATCGGTGTATTCTCCGTCGCATTTCATGCCGACGCCATACGCGAGCTCAGCGCCGTATTATAGATCTTACTATCCAGTGCCCACTATGTACTCTGTACCACCTTATTTCTCATCCTATGGGGGCTATCCAGGTATGACGCGAAACTTTGGAGCCGTGATCGCACATCAGTATCCATTGAGTAATTCTGCGTTTGTTGGACAATATTCACTAACGTACCGTACATACTAGCGTTTTCATTAGATCATAGATATATCATGCCCGTGCAATATATTTATATATTTTTATCTTCCCTTAGAAATGTTTACTGGCGTCGAATTTAAATAAAATGAAATCTCTCAATAATACGTTACGGTGTGTTGTATATAGCTGGTCTTACGAGTAGATGTAATTTGTGATTGGAGAAATACATGCTCATATTGCTTGAGACAAGAGGGTAGTTTGAGTAAATGTGGTTTATCGTATCTCCGTTTATATAGTGTTTAGGTATAAAAATAATGGTCTGGGTTCTGCTTCTCTTTCTAGATAAAATAGAAAAATAATGCGTGCAATGACGCACTTTTTGTTTTATTAGGATTATTCAATACCAAAACAAACAAGTTTAACGTGGTAATTAGTATAATGAATGGGAAGAAAACTTGGCAAGGGAGCATTTTGTTTGAGCACAGTGTTATGATTGAGGCAACCTACAAATCTGGGATATTATTGATCGCATTCCTCCACAACTAATTTTAGAGCCACGTACTGATTATATGGAGTTCATGTGATTGCATTTTAAATCGCGCTATCTGTGCAATGATTTCTGTCGCATGATCAACTCAACACTCGATGGGGAAAAATGTGGTATGGAACGATTAACTAATTTTTCCAGTCCACATCCGTACCATTTTGTTTGTTCGTGTTGCATTCAGTCGTGTATGTGAGCGCCCTCGACATTGTTTTTATTAGAACACGCTCTCGCAACTTAATCATTGCAAATATTTTTCAATAAAAAAGTAGAGCGACTGATCCCAATGACTGACATTTATTTGTATTAAGCCGTGTTTTAACCAGTGTAGTAAATACAGCATCAGCGTGTCACTATAACCCCCCCAGAATAGATAAATGACTTGAAAGATGTTGTGAAATGCATTGAAGTCGTCACCTGCGCATGCGTCAAATGGCCATAGCGTGCCATTGTTTACAAACAAGCGTCTACCCATGGTCCTTTGCGTTTTTAGCGTGTTATCATCACTTGGGACTCAATTCCCGCGCGCAGGTGACGACCCTCCCTACTATGCTGACACAGTGCGTCTTACTCAGAAACAGCTGCTGTACGTGCGCAGAAAGATAGACAAAAAGGTGAACTGGGTTTCCACGAATAAACTTTGTGTACATGCTACCAAGTGTATTATTTAAAGGGCGGTGGTCTTCGCGCCGCGTCCTGTTAGATATGGGACTCATAGCCACGTATACAACGCGTGTAATATACATTGTTTATTTAATGAAATTCCAACACGCGACGACCACCGCGCTTTAACTGCATGGTATTACCTCTGATAAGCTATTGCAATGTTTTATTGGCAATAGTTGTGACTTTGGCTTTGAGCAGAGCAGCGCAACTTCTGTGTAATGGAAATAATATTGTCGTAACAAGGACCGCCAGTCATATTTTTTAAA